ATAATTTGAAGTCACTACCAAAACTCCTACTATTAACAGTTTGATAGAAATTTAATTAGAATGGTAGGGAATCTGAGAAAATCCGGTTTTAATGATCTATGTGTGTGGGGAAGAAGGGTGGTGTTGGAACAGTTGTGATTGTATATTGTTGAGGAGTTTAAAATAACGCTATTTAGATTGATTTTTATGTTTTCAACTGTATTTCTCCAGTGAATATAAATCTACTCTGAATATGTATACATTGACTTAGATATAATTAGACATTATTTTTAGATAGTGACCAGTAATGGGATCCAACAAATGTCTTCTATCGTAATATATACATCAAACAATAAGTATTGAGTACTGGGTTTTATTATATTAGGCTAGGAATAAAATCTACGATAACATCTTCGTTTCATTTAGAGTCCGTCAACTGATTATTTCTGATTCGCTTTGTTGATGTTCACAATGAGATTCAAACACAGTACTTATCTCTTTAAACCCTAGCATGAATGAAGTGAAAGATACACGCGCCGTATTTTGTTCCCAGTTACTATCCTTAAAGATAATTGATTAAATTATCGTTTTTTTTCGATGATTTTTATGCCGTTTCCGAATTGATCTCTTTTTTTGTTACCCTCAATCATTAATCATTTACTGCATTGGTGTCAGTGAAATGTTGTAGATAATTAACTAGTTCGATTTTGTTTTTGAGATTTCTCACTGGTTTCCGCTTTCTATGAGGTCAAACTGAAAAAAATTTATTGTACTATAATCAACAGTTTTCATTGTACGTTTTTTTCCGTTTAACTAGAAAAACTTCTGTTAAACTAAATAATAATTTGATTACAAAATATTTTATCAAACATTCAATTCTATAGATCATTCATTTTTCTACTAATTTCAATGGTTATCAGGCAATAGATTAAGTTGATTTCCACATCATTTTCTTTGATTAAGTTGAAAAGATCAACAAAAAAGTGACCGATAGGTTTTGGGTTCGTATCCCGCGTGGCGGGATCGTAGATGCGAACTCTCCCATGATAAAACAAAACGAATGTCTAATGTTTCCAGGTTTTCCACGGAAGTCTAGCTTTAATTGACTCATGATCTCAACTACTGAAATTACTATACTATCCACCGAAATCTCTTCTAATAAAGCAGCAATTGTTTAATCAGTAAAACAACATGAACTGTTTTAGTTACGTTCAACTTGTTAGATCAGCTATGGCTAACAACCTTGAGTATTTTAAAAGTGAATAGAAATATTCCCACTTCTTTTTTCATTATTCAAAACCATGAGGATGATAAGTCCCACCATTTTAAACCAACGATATTATTCGATGTTCAAATTAATAATAGAGAGTACATTAAATTATCCAGTTATTTATAAAGAAATTATTTGTCCAAAACATCATTTTACGAAATAGATAGGCACATATCAGTTAACAGATATATCCCAAAGAAACATTGAGAGAATGGTTAAACTGAGAATAAATATAATTTCACTTAATCTCAACATTATAGGTGATGATAATATTGAGAGCCTCAGTGATCTAGTGGTTCAGAGTTCGCGCGCGATACTAAAAGGTCCTGGGTTCAATTCTCGTTGGTTCGGGACATATGGATGTGCACTACTGAGGAGCCCCATACCAGAATGAGACAGCCGTCCAGTGATTCCAGGTTTTCAATGGTGTTCTAACTTAGATTGATTCATGATTCGAACTATTAGAATTACTACAATCTGCGCAAACCCATAATTATACATCAATTAAATAGAATGTATTCTGTATACAGATTCTTTGTATTTCTTAAGTTTATACGAATATACAATATCTGTTCAATTAACAAAATTCTTAAATTAATTCATATTTTTTTAATGGAATTTCTGGCCAACTTTCCATGGGATCATTTTAAATTACATAATGACAAGTATTTAAGTAAATATTTGTCTAAATCTACATTACATAATAGAAACTTCGGGGAACGAGAATAGTTACGTGTATAAAAGTATACTGTTATATCCATCTGTTCATTATGGACCTAACTCTTTCCTATCTCGTTCATTTATTTATAATTTTTTTATTTTATTCTTGGTTGTAAAGCTTATTCTACTCAGAACTATTATTCATAATATATATATACACTTCATTACTGGCTGACTTCCGTTAAACAACCATCGAAATTCAATACGATTTGAACAGATATTTCGACTCAAGATTGAATTTCATAGTTTCACAGCACATTCGCTATTCCATTGAAAATCGAACTTGGGAGGTTCAAGCTTCTAAAAATGAGTGTTTAACCCTCAAACCACTGACTTAAAATTTATCACCAATATCATTGGTAATATTTATTTCATGTTCAACATGGTCATAAACCAGCGGATTGACATTTATTTTATTTATTATGATGATAATAAATGTGTTCCTTATATTTCATAGATAACTTTCGTCAGATTGAAGACTTTGTTAATTGCATATCAGATAAAAAAATCATTTAATCCCGACAAATATATAATTTCCTTCTAGAGATATAATTTATCACAAGTTTACACAAATGGTTTTTTTTTAACAGATCGAAAATAGACCTGTTTTGATAGATTACTTCATTGGTATAGATAACCTATTCAAACTTATTGATTAAGCATTTACTAAAAATATGCAAGTATTACAAAAAATATTTGTAGATTTCATAGTTTGATTCATGAGTTAATTGAAACTAGACCACCATGGAAAACCTGGAAGGATTGGACGGCCATTTCGTTCTAGTATGAGACTCCTCAGAAGTGTACATCCACGATCTCGCCCCGCGAGATTCGAACCTAGGGCCTATCAGTCTCGCGTGCGAACGCTTCACCTCTAGACCACTGAGCCGACCAGTATCCAACAGTGTTAATGTCTAACTTCAATCAATCCACAATTTTAACCATCGAATATACTCAAGCGATCTTATAAAAAAGATTAATAAAAATTTTTTAATTACAATTAATCATCACAAAATTCAGGTGGAATTATAATCATCACGTCTATCCACACAGCCACCACCACGTAGGTTGGTGCTTATTTTCTACTTCATCTGAACACTGGAAGAGCAGGCGGTTATTACAATTGAATTCATGTATCAAATTAATATAATACAACGATATGTAATGTAGGATTAAGTAAAATTAATAACACTTAAGAGTAAATATAAACGACAGTCAGCCCATTATTCGAGAGAATTTTACAAATCATTCACAAGTTAAACCGATATTCAACATAATTTTTCTTACGATAAGAACTTTCATCTAAATTTGATCGAATAGTTTTACAGTATTTGGGCACCGAGTAAATGTGAGACTTTAAAGAGGAAGAATGTAATTGTAAAATCTTAGCGAATGAATTTGAAGTTAATGCAACATTTCGCCCGGCAATCTGGTCCAAGCTTTTTCAAGGAAATATACATTCTTCCTCTATAATATTGAGAGTTTGTGCTATGAATTCATTATCGTAATCAAATATATAGAGTAATGAATAAACAGACAAATTATTAACGTTATCTTGATGCTTACTAAATAGGGTTATAACTGTCAGTATTTTATTGTTAGTGATCATGAGTGGGGTGTATCATCATACAATCAGAAGATAATCATTGTGTAAATTAATTAGTTAATTGTAATTTGTAGAAAATTCAATGAAAGTCTTAATGAAGTTCATTAGTATATCCACTCATCAATCATATAACCAGTTTATATACAGAAACATTCAGTGATAAACGTCATTTACTTTCAACATTGATGAAATGCAAAAGAAAAGGTAATGAAATGAAAAACTTAAGTGTAGAAGAAATCCAATGAAATAAATAAAATTGATTTATCATGTGAAATTCATTAGTTTTGAGATGGTGAACAATATTTGGAGCTCAGGTGGATTATTTGGTCGTGGAGCTTTCATCGTTCTTCTGAACTACATCAGCAGTACAAACTTCAGGTAGAAGACTTCTAGTTTTATTAATATGTTGATAACATTTCATTGGCAGTTCCATAAAACAATGTATAAATTCATACTTACAGAAAATATTTCTGTTCTTATCAATCAAATTATGTTTTTAGTACTGAGGAGTTAAACAATTCTTACTGTTTGTAACGCTTACAAGAAAGGATAAATCAACTGAGTCGCTCTCCTCTGATATATATGAATGAGTTATTGATATCAGTTGAGATAGAATGATTTCCCCAAGCTTTAGTAAACATCCCGACTAGTTGAATTCAAGTTTGTTGATAGTGAGACAGTTATCCTCAGTGTTAGTGTAGGATCTTCGCCCAATATCTACATATCGAGTGGTCCTTTTTTCCTATGGTACCACAACTGACATAAATCAACAATCAATACAACCTACAAACTGAATAAGTGCCCACTGAATCATTTTATCATTAATTACAATCAAGTGTATTTAGCCTATGTAACCAACTTTTGTCTATTGAACACCAATGATTATGATTGAAAAGTGATAGTAAAAAAATTTCGAAAAACGATCACAATAAAAGATAACTACTCAAACAGATACTTGTGTTTGTGTAGGTGAGTCAAACGGATACCATCTAAAATGTTACGCAAACAACTACCGTATATATTTATAGCAGATTATGAAGTTGATTCTTTCTTTAAAAATTGACGTAATTTAGCTCATTTATATTTAAAACCATTCCAGAATCAAATTTTATCATCGAACCATGCTGGAAATTGATTACATACTGAAAATGCTTAACGTTATCCAACAGAGATCGAACAACAACAAGTCTGTATTGATTTATAGAGTCAGTCAAGTTAGCACAGAAGAACATTAAGTTATTGCAATTAGCTAACAAAGATTATAGACCATTAAAAACTGTGACTCGAACGAAGAAAAAATTAAACTACTGATTCGTACTAATCAAATAAACTGAATGTTATAAGGTTACATTATTGAAGTCTCAACTTTTATCATTTAATCAATCAATAAGTTAATAATTCATTAATTCTAAAGTTATAACTCACCTTTATGCATCCCAGTAATTTTATCTCTTAAGATTAACAGATCATAAATTGGTCCAAATTCTTCAAATATTACCCGTAAATCATTTTCTTGCATACTTCTTGGTATCTGTCCAACAAATAATTTTGTATTTTTCGTATTCCAACGAAAATCATTCGACTCTCTATTCTTGAAGGTAGATATTTGATGATGCTCCAATATTGATGATGATGACGATGATGATGGAGACGAAGACGACGATGGCGATGTATGCATTATAGAATGTGTACTGTTATTCTTAGTGTTAGTGCTGACGTTGTTGTTGTTGTTGTTTGTATTAGTCATAATATTCTCATTAGTTGCCATGGTAACACTTGCATTGGTCATTGGTGAATTACTGCCTGAGTTAGTTTCATGTTCATCCATTATAAGTGAACTGTTACATGATGATAACATCGCATCATCACAGTTGTCTAGTAATAAATGTGATTCAACAACATTTAGATCGTTATTATCACTGCAATGACCACTGCTGCTACTACTTGTTATACCATTATGAGTAGTGATATCACTCCCATTGTTATTATTATTGTTGTTACTAGTAGTTATTTTCGTATTTAGCATAGTTAAATCTGTATAATTCGATGTAACCGTCATAACTGGTTGATTTGGTATATGATGTAACGGTTCTTTAATATTATTTAACAATGTCGTCATCATAATGATCAGTGAAGCGGTTCAAAGAAATCGGTTCATTATTACATCAGTGTTTTTTTGAGAAACAATGGAAACAATACTTATAATGATTCAATTTGTGATGAGTGAACAAACGTTATCACAGTATTAATGTTTTTGAGGTAGTCGTCGTTTCTTTTTAGATTTCGAAGATGATTGTCAACATTAAAAAAAAATCAGACTATCTTATGTTCGTTTTATTCACAAAAACATGATACTAATAATGGTCATGATAACGATTTTCTTTACATAAAAATATTATACACCTTAGAGTTAATAGGTAAAGCAAATGAAATGTTCACTGTTATTTCCTCACTCCGCTAACTCACTTCTAATTAATTTACTCATCTGTCGAATACCCTCATAGATGATTAACAAACACACGGAGAGATAGTGGAGGGACACACACTCATGTAAGTCAATATATTATTATTATTATTATTATTGAATAGACAAACACACGAATACATGTAATGATGTGAAACTACGTTTAGATAAGGTACTAATTCATATACCTCTCCTCTCTCTCTCTCTCTCTCTCTCCCGCTTCATGTTTGCTCATGTGAGTATACAATATGATATATATATATATATTTTACGATAATGTACATATATTCTGTCTGTATACCAAATGGACAGTGTCCAGTTTGTTAATATTATTATCAACATTTTCATAAAAAAAATTCTCAACTAGAACATGGATTTACACACATCCACACCATATGAGAAATATTTCAATAGATGAACAGAGATGAATTCACGTATCAAGGATGGTTTGAACTAAGTATTGTAGTAGCCTAATGCAAAATGGATAAGCCAGTTAGGATTAAATGTGTATGCAAAAATATACACACATACGTACGTGTGTACATACACACACATACATACATATACCCACATCTGTAGGTAAACATACATACATATTTATTCAGCTCTAGTGAGATAATAATAATAATAATAATAATAATAATAGTGAATATTAGTAATTAAATTCTCTGAAATGGTGCCTACATGCCACTATCACTACTGCTACTACTCTACTGTAACATCTACCATCGTTACCAATGATGTCTTCACCTTCAAATTTATACTTACTTCTTTCTTATCCTCACTGTTGTGCGTTGACAAAACGGGAGAGAGGTGAATTTCACCTGACGAAAGAACAGAGAGGCCAGTCATTGTATTTTATGTTATTATTATTATTTTAACTAATCAGAGAATAAGATTACCATATTTACTCCATTCACAAAAAAAAAACGGGAAAAAAACGCGTATTGTTGTACATCTGATTTTCATTTTTATTTATTTATTTTGTAAATTACCACTTGGTTATGTAACGGATTAATAACAAATTACAATGGAATAAAGAAGTTTGTTGTCAAAACCAAATTAACACGATAGAACAAACTTACGATTTTTAAAAATTATTATTATAAGCTTTATTCAATATTATATTTTTGGTACAATATAGAATTCTCAGCACAAAGTATTTCAACAAGTTTCCGTTTCTTACTTTTTGGTCGGTCCTGACGATAAATATTGAGTGATCGCCAGTTAAATGTTAGCAGTCCAGTAAATGAACATCTGAATAATGCATATTCTTTTTGCTGTATATTGCTAGCGACCACATTATCTCTTATTGGGCTTTTTGTAACTTTGACAACGAAAAGTTGTACACTTTTCAGAAATACACCAGGATATGTTATGCGAATAATAGACATAATGATATATCGAAACAAACAAAAATAGATAACTTGTTGAAATATCTAGATGGAAGGAACGGGTAGCCCAGATACTCAAGCAGACCACCTATTATTATTAGTCAGTGTATATGGCAATTTATAAACTGTTTCAAATTGTGATCATTAGTTGCTTTGTCATTTTTATTAGAAGTGATTTCAATAGTTGAAATCATGAGTCAATTGAAGCTAGATCACCATGGAAAATCTGGAAGTTCCGTTAATTAATTGTGCTGGAATTGAATTTTAATGATAAAAACATCACTTATAAAGGAATACGAGTTCCAAATAGGATGAAACTCACATCCTGGATTCCACTGCTAGCCACTATCTATCTTTGCTTATAATACATTTACTAGTTTAAATTAACTCGTGTATGTATTTGTTAACGTGTATGTGGGTACGAATCCATGGGTTTAGATATGATAAGTTGTAGAAATCAGACATGATTTTTGTATGTTATATTAATAATGTTCTCTAAATATCTTCCCATTTAAGGAATGAGTATTGAATACTTGAGTGTAATTTTGATGTGCAATTTGATTTTGAAGGGGATCGGAGTTGTTCGCTATTGTTATGCACATATTCAGTGCAACGTAGGCCAATATTCAGGATGAATAACAACGATATATTATAAGTTAGGACTTGAGATGAAACTTTAAATAAACATTCCAGTTTAATATACAGCACTCAGTAAATAAACAGAGAAATGACCATTTAGCGAACAATGAAAATGCTTCAGATCATCTTATCCGAACAACAGTGTCATCGATGGTTGAAAATTTCAACTTTCTTCGTAAGTAGTCTACTAATTATTAACTGTATAGTAATTAATAACATGGTATTCATTCAGTCAATTTAAATAACTTAATCTTCACAAGAAGTCAGTTATACATTGAATACTTTAGTGGTTACATTTCTAACTGCGGATACTGGTTGACTCTAATTCATATATTATAAAGAGTGTTGTTTTTATAAAAAATGATGATATTCTTTCACTGGCAAGTATTAGGTGATAACTAATCATCAGCACAGGGTTGTGGAGATTATTAAGTTTTCGATTGAGAAGCACTGGACGGTCGTTTCGTCCTACTGCGGGACGCCTCAGCAGTGCGCATTCACGATCTCACTCGCAGGATTCCAACACAGGACCTTCAGTCTCGCACGCGAACGCTTAACCTCTAGACCACTGAGCCAGCTGACATCCAACGGTGATAATGTCTAGCCTCAATCAATCCACACAATAGGACGAAACAGCCGTCCAGTGCTTCCAGCTTTTCACTGGTGGTCTCACATTAATCGGTTCATGATCTCAATCAAAATCCTAACAATATCCACAACCCCCATACTGATAATTACCATTACCATGTGCTCACTAGTGACTAGCATCGTGAGGGAATTCTCAGAGTTCTAGTGAGAAGCCGTGACCAGTCGAGCTAATCCATGTCGGGTGGAGACAGGTGTCTACCTCGGTCCGATGGAAGATAGTCGCGCAATTTGTGGATCGGTTGAGGCTAGACATTAACATCTTTGGATACCGGCTGGTTCATTGGTTTGGAGGTTAGGCGTTCGCGTACGAGACCGAAGATCCTGGGTTGGAGTCCCTCTAGCAGGATCGTGGATGAGCACTGTTGAGGAGTCCCACAATAGGACGAAACGACCGTCCAGTGCTTCTAGGTTTTTCATGGTGGTCTAACATCAATCGGTTCATGATCTCAATCAATTTGAAATAGTGTTAATGTCTGACCTTAACCAATCCACAGAAGTGTGCGACCATCTTCTATTGTAACGAGGTAGATACCTATCTCTACCCGACATGGATTAGCTCCACTGGTCACGGCTTCTCACTAGAACTCCGAGAAATACTTCACGAATCTAGTCACTTGTGAGAACATGGTAATTATCAGTACAGGGTTGTGGAGCTTACAGATTTCGATCAATTATTCCATTAACTTGCATTCAGAAAAAATTGAATAATGTACCGTACTTTAATTTCTATTTGAATCAATGTCTTTTTAACAACATTTCAAAATATCCATGTTTATTCATTTATTCTTCTGTTCCTTCAGACGTTTTCCAATGTACAATGAAGAAAAAGAGAACAAAAAGTATTGCGGGATAAAAGCATAATAGGAAACATAACGATACAACTTACAATCTCTTTTCAACTTATCTTTCAAGAAACATTTTTCCTTCATAACAAAATAACAAACAATAAAATTCGCCATATTTTTTTTGTTTTTTGTTTTGAAAAGAAACGATTGTTTTTCATCTTATTAAAAGAATAAAATTAAAAAAAATTCAAACAAATTCACTTAGTAACGAATCATCTCTTATTCCTTGTGTGTACGTACATCAATGTCCAACTTCAATATTCATGTTTTCCACTCTGTTCTATTCTTTAACAACTTCAGTTTATCAGCCTTTCTCTTACTTTCTCAGAGTTTTTTTTCTTTAAAATTTGTATAGAAGAAAAACAATAATAATTTACATGTAATTACTGTATGTTAGTGTAGAGACAGTAATTTTCAACAGTGTAGTAATCGTGAAGTAAAAGGGTGGTTGTGTATATGCTGGAAAGAGAAGATTAAAACAAACCAGTGTTCTCTCTCATTTAGAAGGGTTTCTGTCCGTCTATTTTATTTATTTCTTGCAATAATAAATCTTGTATATACTCTGCTCTTGTTCAAAATACACTTAGTTGTTAATTTTATTGTTTTCATTTCATTGATTATACTGTTGTAAGAAACTTGATTTTCTAGTTATCTAGTTATCTCTTGATAGTATTTGTTGCAGACTGGTCTCAATTAGGGTACCAATCAAAACCACTAGGGATGAGACAGTTTTTATGTTTTAATGCACGGCTACTTAAGATTCTGTACTAACAACCAGAATCACAGGGATCGTGTTCGTGACCAACGAATCAGATGACAAATGCTTAACTATTGAAAACACTGGATTAATGTCCATTGGTAAGATTTTAACTTCAATCAATGTACGAAATAGTATGATAATCACTCGATATTACTGATGACAACTGCCTTACTCTCAACGTATTCGACCCCCAATAGTCATGGCTTTCAATTAGAGCTTTAGAGTATGGATGAAGTGATTTTGTGGCGATCTGTGAAAGGCACTTGGGAGTGGTTGGTGACAACTTAGTGATACTAATATTTAAGTGCTCACCATAACACCTGAGGATACTAAATTCGATGCCTGGAGAGGTTATGGATAAGCAATGCTGATGGGTGACATACTAGAGTGAAACATATGTCCAGTACTCACTGTACCAGCACTCTAAATGAAATCAATAACTAAATAATATCTACAAATTATTTTATTTGGTATTATCATAAGACATTTAGTAAGTTGATTCCATTCAATAAAATCTATAGGAACAGTCAACACACTGACAGAATGTCCTTGACTAATTTTTAATGTAAACAAACTTTAAATCTACTCATTTACATTCTGCTCAATTATAGTTGAGTTAAACGTGTCAGTGTATTTGATTGCTTAGTGGAAACATTGTGTTAAAAATAGTCAAGGGAAATTTAATTCAGCATATTAAATACAACTAAGTAGTAGAAGTTG